ATATTGTCATTAGCGAAAATAGATCAATCCTTGGCCTGCCAGGGCAGCGGAGTGCTTAAGACGTGCCCATTGGCTGGACATTCAACGGAAGATAAGACGGACAGGCCAGCCCGATAGCCCCATTTCACAAACACAAATTCCCTCAGGTCGTGAATGCTACATGAAAAAATGTATCGGCAACGTTATTTACCCATTATATTTTAATACCATTTCCAATGCTACAAAATCCTGGGGGGGGGGGGATAAGTGCTCATCACCAATATAACAAAGACGTGTCGTAAGCAACCCAAATAGCTACCAGTCAAATTGGATATATATATATAAAAAGTCGCCAGGCTTTTCTAACAGCCTGCGTTGCGTGCACTTAGCTAGTGGGCTGCAATGTCCGAAGCCCTCAGCAGCATTGTTTTCTGTTTCCGGCTTCGGCATGGCGGTGGCACCGCTGATCGCTCTTCTTATTCGCCACTCACTGTATCGGCATGGTGACGTCACTGGTCACAGCTAAGGCGTTGGACCTAAGTTGAGCATGGCGCATAAGACCGCTCGGTGGAGACCACTGACTGGTGCGTAATCGAGTCCGCGGGTTGAATGCACGGCTCCAGGGTCGCAGCCGGTCAGTCCTGGGAGCCGGTGGTCAGTCCTCGATCATTTTCAGTCCACAATCTGGCACATGGGCCATGCGGCAAATTCGTCATAAAAGATGATAGTACTGTTTTGTTATATTAATTCAACGGTCAGTCCTTAAAAACTTGAAAGTGGCAGGGGCGCACTGAGGCTTTTCGTAAGGGGGAGGAAAATGTTACAAATGCTTGCCACGCTACTTAACATGTCCCTAGCTCTTGACTAGTATTTGACCCGTTTTGTTTTGCCCGACTTCGTTCCCATACGCCAGCACTAAATGCCCCAGTCGGCGCCGTGGTTCCTGTGACCCAGCCCAACAGCGCGACATGGCAAGAACGACAGGACCGCGTCACACAGGATTACTTTCTGCGAACGTCACTAGCTCCACCAGCTATATAGCAGACAAATTCCAGATCAAAGTGGAAAGCTTTCACGTCTTTACACAAGTTCTTTACTTCTATTCTCGAAAAGCTGAGAGTTGACTTTCATTTTTCAGCTAAAAAGGGCCCAAAAAATAAAACATTCGGCCATGACCTGTTGCGCATCCCATCCAATTGACCGAAAATAAATGTTCCCGATCATTGTTGGGGCGCAGGCTTGCCGTACGTGCGTATTTGGAAAGAAGCACAGATAAGAATCCGTTAGCATTTAATAGATGGCTCACCTAGAAAACCCCGAAAGATCTTCCATGGAACAGGAACATTTTTTGTCAGGTCTCGACAGCTAGATACAAATGCTCAATTTTCGAGCACAATTGCCAACAACGAAAACCGACAAGATTTTTTTGGAAGTCTTAAAGTTGCAAAGTGACGAGATTCTGCTTGTCATCATTAACTCATGCCTGACACGCAAAATACGCGCGAGATGCATTGTCTGCTTGTGTAACGGCGCTGTCACCGGGCAGGTCGGGTCACAACACCTTGTGGTAAAAGAGATAAAAGGTTGGCGATAAAAGTGGTCAGAATTCACATCTGTCAGGACCAATTTGCATGCTCCTGTTCGCTGTATGACTGCCTGGGGTCCCCGGACTGCGACACAGAAACAGACGACGTAATGACAGAAACAGACGACGTAAACGGCGTAATGAAACACGATGCAGCATGACCTGCACTACTGCACTGGGATGGCATGATTGCGGTGGCATGATCATTGACCGTGGTGCCATGGTGTTTTGGACGGTACATCTCACCGACCGCCGTCGCGGGGTCGCTCACCGACCCCCGAGGTGTTCCGTGAGTGAGGGGTCAGCTGACCCGTGATCTTGAAACCACAAATTGACCAACGGCCGAGAACCTTCCGAAGCTGCCGTGACTTACTGAATTTTTGCAATGGTCGATCACCGGACTCCTGTGTTACGCAAATAGAATATATCGCTTGCAAGTTTCATGTTTTTCCATTATATTGCCATTTGTTGTGTTCCATTACTACTTGGCTCACTTACTTGGCCTCACATCAGCCGTAAAGGAAATTGCACAACCCCCTGCATTGCCGTGTATGGCATAAGGGCTTTACATCTTTGACTTTGCACAATCGACAATAACTTAAGAAAATGCAGGTGTCGTGTACTGCTTCCAGTAGTATTTTTACAAACGTTGTACGCAGATGGATACGACATCATTGTTACATTCTGCTGATTTTCTGACGGGCCACTTACATCATGCGGTCATAACTTGGTGCGCCCTTTAAGATAGCTTGCGGCGATCTTGCATTGCTTGGATTATTTTGCCAACCGCGTACGTTGGATGGTCATAGAAGCATTCTCGCCAATTGCCATAGAAGCATTCTCCTGGATGGTCACAGGAGCATTCTCGCCAATGGCCGTAGAAGCATTCTCCTGGATGGTCACAGGAGCATTCTCACCAATGGCCATAGAAGCATTCTCCTGGATGGTCACAGGAGCATTCTCGCCAATGGCCATAGAAGCATTCTCCTGGACGGTCACAGGGGCATTCTCGCCATGTCAAGATCTCATAAAAACATTGGACATGTCCCTACGGCAATCAATAGCCCTAGTCAATCTCAGCAAGGAATCGATGAATTATTGAGGCCTGTACGTCGCAATTGATATCATGACGTCATAATTCCGTGACCTGATCTATTATCTGAACGTCTCCACTCCAGTCTGTGCTAACGTAATCACGTGATGGCTACTGCTAAATATTGGAAGAGCCATACATGGAGCTTCGGAACTACTTGCAGAAACTCGGAGGCAGGTCGCTTTTGGCGCCCCAGCCGGTTTCGAACTGAACTGAAATTGCACAGTATACTTGTAGGGGTCACATTGAGGCCATGTGGTGAATTGATTGAAACGCCTGCTTTCAGTAAGAGTTAGTAGTTACGCCTTAGCTGCTGCGTCCTGTCGGCGTGTAGGGGATATTTCCTTGCTCTCTTGTGCCTGCTCAGAGTCCAGCTGAGTTCTGACACAGTCATCCACATTCGTGGTAATGGCAACAATCTGGTAAACCGATCAAGATCATGTTCGCTTACACGCCTCATCACTCGCTTCACTGACCCAACCGGACACCGCGCGATAGGGGTTGCATAAGGTTGCTGACTGCAGACTTTCGCGTCGATCATCGTCGACGACGCGCACTTCGATCAACATTCCAGACAGGCACAATGCGGTTGTACCTCATTGATTACCATACCAAGCAGAACAACTTAAAACATATCAGGCTTGGTCCAACCGAGTGTTGACGGTGTCAGAAACAAATCAGCCACGACTGGTTGAATGACCCCACATCCAGTCATCAAATCGATGTTGAAAGACGCCGACAAGTGACATCAGCTAACATCCCAGCGAAGTGTCACTAACGGGGTCACGTAAGGACAGCACGTTAGCCATATGAACTCAGTTTGCGTGGTACACAGGCGCCTAAACATCCAATTAAGGAAGAGCAAAACTTGCACAATTTTTGGCACAATGTTCAGTGATGATGGTGCAACACGTAACAGCTTTTAAGGCTCTCGTGGAGCCACCCTTCCCATTGCTGACACGTTCTGGTGTTCAGGATTTGTTTTCTCAACACTTAATGTTTCCCGGTTGCTGAGCAACACCATTCACGTTTTATAAGATTATGCAGTCCGGACCCAAGCCGGTGGCTGGATTGAACGCGACGAAACAGCTGAAACCCAACCCAACCGTCACCCAAGCCAAGCCCAAGCCAGCCAACCAACCGGTTCACATGAGGACAGTTGCTGAGCCACGAACCGGTAGCTGTTCCTCAGTGGCAGGCGCCCATCTCGCCGCCGGCTGCGCTGGAGGAACGGCCGGTATGTACGGCTGTGGTGAACACCAGCCCCCACAGCGGAGCATTCGTCCGCGGGTTCCACGCGCTCGTCCGCCCGCCCCGCTTAACGTGCGCAGGAATCGGCATTTAACGCCGGGTGGGCTAGACGCCTTCAAAGGAAGACATTTTCGCCTGTTGAAAAGATAGATGTTTATGCATTCAAAGAAGGAATAAGGTCCTCGAATCTCAATCCGAGCAGGGATCATGTGCAGCGCCGTGTACATCAATGCTGTACAAACGCGTTGCACATTATTTATGTGCGGATGATGCGCTATCTTGGAAAAACCACACAAGTGACATACAGGCTTATATAGCAATGTTTGCAGAGGCGTTGCTGCACTGTGTCATCTATTTCTGTCATCTGTCATCTGGTTGTCCATGTTCAGGAAAGCAATGACCATAACCGCTAAAAAAACACGACCATAACTCATATTTATTGTAGCTCAGCAGACGGCGGCCAAGTGTCGGCGATCGATGTCCTCAATATAACGGCCACGAAATCTCACAAACGTATCACACGTGTTGCCCAAAATCGCCCCGCGCCCCAGCTGGAGCTGCGTGATCGCAATTGCCAAGACGAGCGCGGAGCTTCCCGTGCGTCGGGTTTCATTTTTCAACCGGCGAGCAGCGACGCCTCTGATGGAGCTTGCTGATGGGCCCTCGCAGGTCGAACGCGCGACGTCGCCCGGGACGCCGACGGGCGTTCGACGAAGGGACGTGGTCACTGCGAGGCGCAGCCGCCGCGAGGTCCTGCGCGGCCAACAGCCCCGTGCGGCGCGTAGTCGCTCAGGAGAGGTGTGCAGCTGTCGGCCGACTTAATATCGTATCTGCAGCTGCTGATGACTGCTGCCGTGTCCACAACTGCTGAGCGCCCTGCTGCTGTCTACAGCTGCTGATCGGCCATGCTGTTGTGTCTGCAGCTGCTGACCGGCTCGCTGTTGTGTCTGCAGCTGCTGACCTTCTCGCTGCTGTGTCTGCAGCTGCTGACCGGCTCGCTATTGTGTCTGCAGCTGTTGACCTTCTCGCTGCTGTGTCTGCAGCTGCTGATCGGCTCGCCGTTGCGCTAACCGCCCGCCTGTCGTTCGGCAGCTGCTGGCGGTCGGCACCGGATGCCTCACCATGCTCGTGACCGGCTTCATGATGGCCTACCAGTCGCCGGCCAACCCGCAACACGTGCTGTCATCTGGCGAGCGGCGCCAGAACCATCTGCTCGCCGTTGGTGGGTCACATGTCCACGCGGCGCGTTCGCAGTCCAGTGTCAGATCGATTGCCTGCGAAAAGGGATTCCATATTTGCACTCCATTTCCGCCAATCTGGCGATGTGCTTTTTGTATTGCGCTTTATGTATGTGCTTTTTCCATACACGTGGTGTGCTCAAATGGCGTATGCCGTCGAGTAAACAAATATCATTGGCGAAAACCTTCGAATCACCGTACATGCAAACAACAAAACGAGTAAGTGCATGTGCGACGACCATTATTTACATAGATAATACAGTAGTAGTAGCCGTATTGCTTGGAGAAAACAATAGAATGGAGGTACAGATGTACTGATATTTCAGCAACATGTCTTTATGGAAACGAATAGCAGAAGTATTTACTTCTGCTATGCTTATACACACACACACATATATATATATATATATATATATATATATATATATATATATGTTGGAATATTTTGGCAGAATTCTATCTTTGATACATGTTTGATTAAAAATAACTACTGACTCAGCATTAACGAGCTTTTTGATGCATCGTTCTAGTTTCCGAGCCTTTGACTTTGCGTCATCGCTTAGATTAAAGATGGTTCGCACAAAATTACTCATATATTCATCACTCCTTCCATTCTAACGTTTCGAGATCTTATCTCATCTTCAGAGAAGACTAAATTGCACAAGAAATAAGTTTTGAGTTTTAAAGGATGAAAAAATTGTGCACTACTGTTGGAAAACATCTTTTAGTACGGAGAACATAAATGACGCACAACTAATTGAAGTAAGACGGATTGCTATTTTCATCTTCATACATGTAAGAAACACTCATAATGGGAACATCACAAAGACACAATGGGACAATAGTGTTCCCATTGTGTCTTTGTGATGTTCCCATTATGAGTGTTTCTTTCATGTATGAAGATGAAAATAGCAATCCGTCTTACTTCAATTAGTTGTGCGTCATTTATGTTCTCCGTACTAAAAGATGTTTTCCAACAGTAGTGCACAATTTTTTTCATCCTTTAAAACTCAAAACTTATTTCTTTTGCAATTTGGTCTTCTCCGAAGATGAGATAAGATCTCGAAACGTTAGAATGGAAGGAGTGATGAATATATGAGTAATTTTGTGAGAACCATCTTTTATCTAAGCCATGACGCAAAGTCAAAGGCCCGGAAACTAGAACGATGCATCAAAAAGCCCGTTAATACTGAGTCAGCAGTTATTTTTAATCAAACATATATATATATATATATATATATATATATATATATATATATATATATATATATATATATATATATATATATATATATATATATTCTTACGTATAAGAGCATACGTATCTACTTTTTCTGTTATTTTTTATAGAGGCATGTTGCCGAAATATCAACACATCTATAATTCCACTCTCCTGGTTTTTCTCTGAGGAATACGGCTATTACTGTCTTATCTATCCAAACAGAAATTATCTTTGCTTGTTTGGAGATCTAATGACTCGACGGCGGTTTCTCATAAAATGCCTTTGTTGTGTTGTTCTTAAAAATTTTGAATTGTTGTTTTGAGCAGCCTTTTTCCTATTGCGGAATGATTTCGACGAAGTATTAGTAGTGAGAATGAAATCGCTCTTCGGAGTATCGTTTTCGTACGCACCTGTACGTGCTATCACACCAGACGAGGATGAGAGTCCGAGCAATTATTCAAGTTGCGTTTTCTTATTGAAATTGCATTGTCAGATGCAAGAAATGAAGTATTCTTGACACTAATTTAAGATTATGTGCTACACCGTGCCATCGCACATTATTGCCATCCTACCCATAATTTTAAAAGTTAAGCATGATGCACTAAATGCCCGATGTCTAAGTAGTTGTGCAAAAGCGTCCGTAAAGTATATCTTCGGGCTCTGTGACTACCCGACACTGAACTGGTACCTACGTCTTGCACTGGGTCAATTACATTGTAATGTGTCAGTTGACTTCACTCGCCTGCAGTTCTGAGCATATGCACAAATACGGCTTCGTGAGATGAATTATGCGAGACACGAAGAAAGGTGGACTGGCATAGGTACGGTGGGCAGCGTTCAACACGTGGCTGTAGGGTCCGTACGGCATAACTCGGGAATAAATACGACAAACTCAAAAACAACCGCTGCGCTTCAACCCAAATAGCCAACGATCTCAGCTAACTGAGCCCGATTGCTCTGCAGAGCGAGGTTCACGCTCTAAAACGCCGTCTGATTCAACGACGGAGTTTCGCAGTTAACGTTTTCCCGCGCACGACATGTGCATATAAAAGTAATCAGGCTGGTTATTCAGTGCGAATGAGTTTATTCTTGCACCGGTGTTTGCAACGATGTTCAGATTCTGCCAGCCATCTGCCTTCGCAGGCTCTCCTTGCTGTCTGCTGGATTGCAGTTACTTGGTGCCGCTATCCAATGTCAGTACTTAGTTATTCAAGGTGGCAAAACTGGTGTGGATTCAGAATATATATATATATATATATATATATATATATATATATATATATATGTCAAGAATTTGTGAAGATGGCTGGTTATATAACTGTACCGGATTGCATTTTAAAAACACACTCGATATAAACTGACCGGGAACAGCCCTCATATCAAGGACACACATCCTTAACATGCAGCTGCTGCATGCATCTAGGTGTCACGCATGGCGAATGTATGCTGACTTATTTTCCGGGCATCGCCTGCCTGCTCATGCTTTTACTAATCATTTGCACACGGTTATCTTGCCAGGTCGACAGCCCCAGTTAAGTTAGCCTAGTTAAGCAGCTCCCGTTAGACGAGCCCATGCAGTTTTCCAGAACGTTTCTCCTTCACAGCTCACACACCAGACTTTCCATATTAACTTTCCCGCGGAATTAGGCGGAACATGTCGGCAGAAGCGCCAAGAAGTTGCATAGCCAATGCAGGCTAAGGCAGTTGCAAACACTGACCGAAGTACTTGAGTTCAAATCCACGGAACCAAGCTAGCAGCCATCTTAGCACTCATGTCACACATTTCCGTATAGCGGCGGATGACAGCTCTTGTGGTTGGCAGGTCCATCAGCCGTGGAAATGTCAAGGGTCGCTGCTCAGCGCCCGGTTTGCGGTCGACCTCCAAATGGCGTGCAAAGCCCGGAAATCACCTGCTCCCCCGCCAATTGCCCCTCGTTGGTCCCGAGCTGATTGAAACCCGCCGCCCCCTCCCCAAACCCAATCGGGTCTGGTCGCGCAACGCTCCGCTCTCGCCGCGTTTTACAACGTTCTGGCGTCCCCAGGGATCGCCAAGGGCGTTTCTGCGTCGCGGACACCCAATCAGCTGCTGCGATGTCCGCGCGTCGCTAGCAGGCGCCTTGAGCCAGAGGCGGCGCTGCGCCCTCCTGAAGTGCGGCTGTAAAGGTCCGACGGCGTCACAAATCGCGCAGGGCACTTGTAGTAGGAGCGTAACGCTGATTTTATCGTTCGCGATACTACCGATAAGCCGTGAAAGCTGTCGGTGTCAGCGCAAAGTCGGTCCAGGTCTTCAGGCGAACGCCGGGTGGGCCGCGGGCTGCGGAGGCGCGTGATGCGGCGCCGTGACCTCTGGGTGGCCGACGGCGGACAATCGATCCACGTCGCGCTATTGACAGAGTAGCAATATGGAGCGTCGGCTGACCAGCACTGTTGACTGCAGCGCAGCGTTCGCCCTGCGGATACGGAAAAACTGGGCACTCGCGCCGCGCTGTTCGGGCGCTTGTCTGCTGTTGACCAATGTGATGGCACTCAAAGCCAGGGACGCACGCCGGTGGCGGCCGATGTGGCATACGATGATGAGGAACACCTGGCTGCGCCTGCTATCAATAACACAATGGCAGAGTTACGAGAGGGCCGATATTCTAGTTTGTATTGATTCCTCGCCAGCCTGCAAGCACATCTGTTCCTTTCTGCGACCTTGTCAACAGTACTGAGCTGCGGCACAATGTGGGGAGCCAGCCGGTCGGCGTTGTGGGCGAAAGCGACGCTCGATAAACTCGCTGGGCTTGAAGCAAGTTTACCCGCGCAGCTATTGCGCCAGTGTGCATTCAAACAATCTAAGTCCTGCAAGCGAAGCACTGGCATATTGACCAGATGCGTCGTCAGTTGAGTTAACGTGAAGGGTATCTCCCTGGGCCTTGGCAGCTCCCCAGGATCACGGGTCCTAAGTATCGAGGCCGAGCTGTCACTCGTAAGGCTCAGCACGTCCTTGCACTGTTGCTGCTGCCGCTTCCCATGCGATGCGTCATGTGGGCAGGTACTCGGCGGTGATCCTTTAAAGGCAATGCTCCACGCTTCAGAATATTGAAGTAAGCATCCTATATGATGAAATAAACTCACTTATAACTATTGGTATGTTTTTAGGTGGAAAAGCGTGCCATGGACAGCACATCTTTCTGTTCAGCGAAACTTTGCTCAATTCGCCATTACTTGACGACGTCATCGTGCTTCATACAACAGTAATTGAGAGCCAATTGACGGTCGTTTCATTTGGGAATTAAGCTCACAAACGCCAGATATCAACGGCTCGACAATTATATTTTGATTAGCCTTCATCGCGCATGGCCAATAAAACAAGATTTGAATGCCGTGATTATGACGTCATGAATGCCTGGGTGACCTTAAAATAGTCTCCAAAGTGGTCTGCATATCTTGGCGGGCGTGTAGCTCAGAAACTAAAGGGGCTTAGGTCTTAAGAAGGGCAGGGCTGTGAACTGCACCAAATAATCTTCAAGATGGTTATTTTAGTTCAAAACACCATACAAATGTGAAACACTCCCTTCAAATGGCACAAATTTGGCAAATGATTGTGCATCAAACGCTACGCACGCAAGCCGAACTGGTGAGTCCATGAGCGGCCAATAAAACATGTTATTTTACATTGGACAGCGGTGATTGTCACTGTGATCGATGACCCATTGCATCATGCAAAAAGTTATGACCTTGTTTCAAATTGTGGTCATTCCAAACCGCGTAACCAGTCATATCTGTACTTACCTTGTTACAGTTATAAAACCCTCGCGACCAAAACCCAAGCCCTGGACTCGCAGTGTGCGTCGCGTGAGACGACATAACCCGCGCCGTGTGCCGCAGGCTGCCTTCTGGGATCGCTGGTTGGCGGCGTGCTGCTCCTGGCCGGTCGGCGACGGCCGTTGCTGGCCGCCTGCCTGGCCGACGCCGTCGTCTGGACGCTGCCCATCTTTTCGGCCGACCCATGGCTGGCCTACACGGCCGAGATCCTGACCGGCCTGGTCAGCTGCGCAGCCATCCTGCTCGTGCTCGTATACGTGGCCGAGGTCAGCGTGGCCGAGTGCCGTGGCGGCTTCTTGGTGGCTGCGCTCGCCTGCTTCGACGTCGGCGTGCTGCTGTGTCTGTTGCTGGCCGAGCTGATGGGGCGCCGCTACCTGGCCGTGGCCGGACTCTGCCTGCTGCTGCCGCTATTCGCCGCGCTGCTCCTCGCACTGCCCGAGTCGCCGCGCTTCGTGGCCGCCGCCGGCAATAAGGTTGGGGCCGAGATCAGCTTGCGCCTGTTGCGTGGCCTCGACTACTACAGCGAGAGCGAGCTGAACCTAGTGCTCACCAACCTGGACGCCGGCGGAATCGGTGCGGCGTGGCTGCGCGCGCCCACGCGCCGGCCGGCGCTGCGGGCGCTGCTCGTGGCCGGCGTGCTGACGTTTCTGGTGCCGCACTGCGGCTTCAGCACCGTCACCTCCTTCGCCGTCGGCCTGTTTGTCGAGCACGGCGTGCGCGTGCAACGCACGGCGCTCTTCTGCGTGACGCTGATCAAGATCGCGGCCACGGCGGCGGCTGTGCTGCTGGCGGATCGCTTCGGCCGGCGCGTGCCGCTGCTGCTGGCGGCGGCGCTGCAGGCGCTGGCGCTGATGGCGCTGGCGCTGTGCGCGCTGCTCCTCAGCCCCGAGCAGGTGTACAGTCGCGCCGGCACTGCGATGCTGCTGCTGCTGGTCGGCCTCTTCGTCATTGGCGCCGGCGTCGGCATGAGCACGTTGCCGTGGGTGCTGGTGGCCGAGCTGTTCCCGCAGCGGAGCCGCGCCGTCGGGCCGGCGCTGAGCAGTGTCGCCTACTGGGCAGGCGACCTGGTCTCGGCCTGGCTCAGCATCTGGGTTCAAGACACGCTGGGTGCCAGCGGTGTGCTCTGGCTGCACTTCCTTTTCACCACGCTCGCCTACATCTTCGTCTTCTTCATCGTGCCGGAGACCAAGGAGAAAGCGCTGGAGGAAATCGAAGTTTACTTCACCGAAAAGACGAGCAAGAAGCCCAAGTCGCGAGTGCCGTCCGTATTGATTACCCGCCTTTGATCATTGTCTGTGTTGCTTTAATGAACGCGCTTTGCCCGGAGTGGCGAATACACGCCGCTGCTCGCTGCCTCTGCACTTTTCAGAGCCTCCCGGGGGCGCGGCAACGGCACCTCCACCGAAACCAGTGCCGGATGAGTCGCTTTCAACGCCGCCATCGACCGGTTGCCTGGACCGGCCGTGGTCTCCGGAACAGAAATAGACAGCGGATGACGCTTGGTCGCGCCGCTGAAGGCGCGAGGGCGGAGTAATTGAACGGCCGCTGCTCTGCATGAGAGCGGTGACTCCGACGCGGACCACACCGGCACTGTGCATCAAAAATCACGCAGTTTGGTCCCCACGGGTTTGGAGCAAGTTACGAAAACAGGCAAATTTGGATGACTGTAGGAAAGATCTAATGAAAAATACCATCACTCATACAACTCAGGACTAACGAGACGGAGCGTGCATCATTCATGAATACGTATCGGTGCTTTAAGGCCTCGTTGGCACTCAGCGACGCTGGAAATGACCCTTCACATGGCATGGAAGGATATATTTGACTTGAAATATATCGACTGCGCTCATGCAAATGGAAACAGAGTTGAGCATTGTGCCTCGCCCATCTATGCGGCGCTGTCCTAATGTAGTGGCAGGAAACTTGCGATCGGCGAAAAGACGTGCCGTTGTTCTATTCGTGACGTTCCCTCCTTATGTCAGAGGTGAAGTTATCTGCGACGTCAATGCTGAAAGCCTCCAGAGTGTTATTTTTACAGTTGCTGATCATCGACAGGTTCATGTATCTGTGGACCGATACATCTTTCGAGGATTTTCGATGCTTTGAATTAAAGGGAATGTTCCACATTTCAATGTTTTAAAGCGAGCATCAGACGTGGTTAAACAAGCTCACTTACCACTAGTAGCGTATTTTTTTAATGGAAAAGACTGCTCTAGGCAGTGCACTCCTCTGTTAAGTAAATACGCTCCTCAATGCGTGATGGCTTGATAACGTTTCCGTACCTTGCACAACATTGATTGAGGTGGAATTGGCTGTCATAATGTCTGGAAGTGGTGCTCACAGACGCTCGATATGAGCGCCGCGACAATTATATTTGTATTAGCCTTGATCTCCGCATGGCTTATGGAATGGCAGAATTTGAATGACGCTTGTATGGCGTCATTCGGTGTCCGGCAGGCATTCCTCGATGATCTTTTTGTCAATTTCATCAAACAAATAATTCGTCATGAACACCAAGGCGATTTTGAAACACTCTTCCCGAAATGCGTTCCCCATTTTCGGCGGCATGCAGCTCAGCAACTAGAGGGGCATAGGTGTCAAGAATTGAGAGGCTGTGAACATCACCAAAAGCTCTTCGAGGTATCTATGTCAGCTCAAAAAATCGTATAAATATGAAGCACTCCTTTCAATCTCGGTAATAATCAGCGTCAAAGACCATAATCCTCTCGTGGTCAGATCTAAAATGTAAGAAACTCAGAACTTGACGGCGAATAACCTTACGCTTTGCGCAAACATTTCACTGACCTGGCTCTCACATGACAGACAGTGCTTATGTCCAGGCGTACCACCAGGCTGCAGGGCGCGCCATGCTTGCTTTATGAGACCGATCGGAAACGGCGATAATGGACGGCGGGCGGCGGCTGGCGCTAAATCGCCGGATGCCAAGGACCGCTTAATTCGAGTGCCCCCGTCTCCACAGGTGAGAGCTGACCACATCTTGCCCGGCCCGGCTCTTGCATTGTACCCGCAGCGAGTGGTCCACGATGGTGGCAATCTCAGGCTCATTCGAGACGTTTCTGAAGCCAGAACAGTCTCGCAGCCGTCTCGACGAGCGGGTCTGGCCAGTTCTACGTCAGGCGTGCTTCTTCCAATTCAAAAGCTTAATCACAGCCAGGGTCACGTTAAGTCAAATATAAATTACGGCTATTTAGTCCATTGGATGTCACACCATGCGTTCCATCGGCTGACAAAGGTTTAAATGCTAACATTACAGGCAGTTACGGGAAAGATCAGGTGAGGTTTAGTCCTGATAACGGCAAAACTAATCCGTTCAACAAGTTTCAGACACCTTGTGTACATGGTTTCTGTCCATGTGTGCACCCTTTGTGTATAAATTGTGTGCATACAAACCAACATATTCATGCGTGACAGAGCAAACAGAAAACACTGCTTTAGAGCAAACCTAACAAAGAAAAAAACAGCTTATCAGATGATGTCGGCTGAAATTCCGAAACAGCTTGTGCAGCAATTCCGCAAATTTCACCCGTTGAAGCTAGGTGCGAGTCCGGCTGGGGTCACCGCCGTCCACATGCGCCAATAATGCTGCAACCACGGAAGACCAAGGTCAAAACACATCTCTCAGAGCCAGCGCCCTCGTGTTGACTCGCGCGAGGAGCGATGCTGCGGTGATTTGGCAAAAGTCCTTCCGCCCGCCAGTGACCATCGACCACCTGGTGCCCAGGACGCCGACGATCGGACGACCACGCGACCCAGCAGCTGACTGGGGCCCGTTAGTCAGGTGGGCGACCGTCGCGGCCGTCGAGTCGGCCAGCTCGGGCGCCGTGGCGCTAATAGCACTCCCAGCTCTGACGCCGGGCAGCTGAAGGCACTCACAGCTCATGTGCCGGGGCACTGATGACACTCCCAGCGCTGGGGCGCCGGGGCACTGATGACACTCCCAGCTCGGGTGACAAGCTGTTGATGACAGTCCCAGCGCTGTGACTCCGGGACGCTGATGGCACTCCCAGTGCTGGGGCGCCGGGGCACTGATGACGCTCCCAGCTCGGATGACAGGCTGTTGATGACCCTCCCATTTCATGTGCTGGAGCACTGATGACACTCCCAGTTCGGGTGACAGACCGCTGATGACACTCCCATCTCATGTGCCGGGGCACTGATGGCACCCCCAGCTCGGGTGCTGGGGCGCTGATGGCACTCCCAGCGCTGGGGCGCCGGGGCACTGATGGCACTCTCAGTTAGGGCTCACTGGGACGGGGAGCCTCGCATCCGCATCACGCACGCGCAGAGTGGGTAGAGGTGTGGAGACGGCTGGCAGGAAACGCCGTTTGGCATCAAGTGTTCGATATGGTTTATTTTGGGGTGAAATGGATTTTGGTCGGATCAGGCTTGGAGAAAATTCATTTATCTGTGTTGGAACTCTATCCTGCCTGGCCACACACAGAATAGTTCGGATCGAACAAAACTGATCCGCTTCAGCCTCTGGTGGTTTGCACATTGCAAGCAAGTTTGCGATTTACTCTGATGCGGTGTGCAAGTGTGCCTGCAGATAGTGCTGAAGTGTTTCGGCAAATTGCAATTTTCTGACTTGCGTCTTCAAACTCCGGACAAATTGAATGCAACACCTTTCAACTGTTGAATGCTCCTTTCCGCCAAACTGCAATAATATCTTCCGCCAAAAATATTTCCAAGTGAAGAACCTGCTAATGATTTGTTTTTAACGCGGCAACGTTTTGTGGGTGATCGACGCTCGTTTGATTCCCCACAACAGCTTCCGATAATCAACAATCGTAAGAAAGCTTCCTTCTGAATCCTCCTCCTTCTTTATTGATGCATTGATGCACGCCGGGGACCCACTCCATGACGTCACCGAGGCCATCGGGGCTGTTCTCGAGCCCGAGACAAACGAACGAGAAAGTGAGACAGCGGCAGACCATCCACGAGACATGCAGTATATGGCGGAAAGGTAAGTAAACATAGCAAGAAATGTGCCACCACGCTTGAAAGTCCGGCAACGAAAGCATATTGAGTCACGCTTCCGCTGCTGCAGGTGTTCGAATAAGGTTTAAACGCGACAGACGCCGCCACTAACGCCGAGTGACGTATGAGGCTGTAGCAGGTAGCACAGGCGAAGAGGAGGGCGGGAACATCGGCAAACTGCTGCATCCTTCTGTATCTTGAAACGCGTTGGTGTGCCAACTACCTCTTCCCAGATGCGGACATACCTTAATGCATATTAGCAAATACGATGTGGAGATAAAGTGAACTACCTCTTACCAGATGCGGACATATTTTTACTTTTCGGTAAGGTTCACAGCCCACCATGTTTTATAATTCGCACGTCGTCTGGTCGTTCGCTGTTTTTATGACAGTTGCAGGCCAATGAGTGAGGTCCGCCAGCTCGACGGATTTTGAGCATTGAAATCAGAGGCTGATAGTCGGACAGCTTCGATGAATCCAGCCAACCCAAGTTTTCTCACACGCCTGATGTGTTACTGGCTTTTCTTGCCGGAGGTGGCTCGAACAGCAAAGTTGACGGATGTCTTCAGAAGGATGCAGGTTTTGGCGGTGCCGTACCATAAACAGTCGTACGGCGTCGGTCGCGCGAAAAGATAAGGACAGATTGAAGAACAGAACGAGTGCCAGTGGAAGGCAGAGATTGAGTCGAGACAGGTCGGTTAGGACCCAACAGCACTGGAGAAAGGGCGGAAACATGAGCATCGCAAAGAAGGCGGTCGTCGAGAGTTGCTTCATTACCTGAATAAATGATTGATTTCCTTATTTTTACAACGGAGGGAGCGACAAATAGTTCTCGCAAATTTTGGTGGATACATAGAGAAATAATTCGAATTTTGCTTCGCTCACCCCAAATCCGCTGTACCTCAAGTAGTCGCCTACAGAGCCTTGGGTGGTTTAGAAGTCGTCAGCATAAAACAAACGGCAGGGTTTGACCAGAAACAAATATCTGACTGTTTCTGATGTATTGCGCTTTAAAGGCGTCAGCGAGGTGCATACTTGTTTCGTTGGTAAAGACAGCAAACAGAAGCCGAAGAAAAGAGCTTTGAAAAGTTCTCTGGACCATGGGAAGCGGAGTCAGGTTCTGACAAATACATGATGAGAAAGAGAGCTAGACACTTCGACCAGACGACCAGACACAGAATGGCTATAAAGATAATTTGCAAGTGATGCTTTATCATTGCAGCGAATCCGCATCTTGAAAAGTAATGTTCACTTACGTCGACGCATTCGCCTATATCTATAATACAGAATCGACCGATTTTGCCTTCATCAATAGCAGA